TGTTTCGTAGAAATTACGATGCCATTCAATCTCATTTCTGATTCTGCGTTTTTCGACCATAAATACTTGTGTTATCTCTGTTTAGTTTCGGAGATCCAATAATCGCTTTGTGCTCCACATTTGGTCGCCATCTTGGTCTCGGATTATTCATAATGCTGAAACAATCACCCTGTTCCAAGATTGTCGGAGGTCGAGCAAATGCAGTCACATGTCATTTTTAATTCCACATTTCATGAATAGGACTATCGAATGAGCATTTTCGGCAGTTTCCTAAAATCTGACGTGATTTCGTTCAAAATTTGTGTAAGAATTGCCGAAACGAGATACATTCGGAGAAAATGGAAAAGTATTACGAACCTCCTTGTAGGCTGAAATATTCCGTTGCGAGCAGCTCTGTCGGTTTGGCCCAACAAGCTAGTCCGAAACACCTCCACGTTTCTGATAAGCTTTTCTGTGGAAACTGGCCCAAAGTCCTGCCGTTACAGGCAGCCCAGTCTCACCTGACACGAACGTTTTACCTTTATTGTCTCCGACGGGCACAGCTGTCCTGGCATGTGAGTGTGTGTACTGAACGCACATAGAAAGTAAAAGGAAAGAAAAAACAGAAGGATGAAAAGAGTTTAGCCTCTGTAAATTAACGGCAGGCCAATCCACTTGAAGCTCGGGAAAATCGTCGCTCTGCAAGAACAACCTTGACCTACCAGAGCCGTTTTAATCTCGTGATCTTCCACGCGCCTGTATCCAGTGATCCAACTCCCCAGATGTGCTACGATCATGACGGGGCTTAATCGGTAGACCCCTCGACGTGTGTGAGGACGGGTTGAAAGTGAGGCAAGTTACCCGTCTTGGAAAGACGGCCAATGAGAATCACCTTTGTGGACAAAGCCAGTCCGGGGCTGATCTTGTCCCGCCTAGATAGGCTAACATTGTAAGACCAGCGTGCGAAGGGTCGAGAACGGCTCAAGTCCGCCATAGCCGCCCGGTAGCCCAAAAGTAACAGGCTTGTCTAATACTCTGGCGGCGTGGGTTCGAGTCTGTGTAAGGGCAAAGTGACCCTCGCCCTTAGCCCACGTGCGACCGGTGATGGTTGCGCGGCAACGAAGCGTCGGTACTGCGTACTGCTGACGCCTATCTTTAATTGCAACTATTGAGCTAAAAGACAAAATGGTGATTGGGAAATGAATCTCCGTATCGTACATCTTCAGGTCGTTTCCAAGATTCCACGAGGTAAGATAAACAGGTTGCTTACAATTCAAGCACGCCCGGGGGTTTCTGCTGCTGCTTGCGTGTAGCGTTTACCAACGTTGGCAGTATTAGGAGCAAGCGCATTTCTTTCCATCTTGAGGTGCCAGATATAGTGGGGCTCGCAGACATGGTTAAATACTGATGTGATTGCCCAGGAAATCGAGCTCAGTGGCTACTAATGCTTCCGGAGGTATTGTCTTGCTCTTCATCTGGTCATCTTTGTGTGGAAGACTTGTAAGCGTCTGCAGAAGTGACGATGACGTTTGTGGACAGATGTGATGCCCAATTCATCTCAGCCGCGGAGAGCTGCTCTTGGGTGCACTTTATCGCGGTCCCCTGAGCCATTGTTGGATTGACTACCTCATCTCCGAAACCACCTCGGTCGTCCCCTTTTCCTACTCATAGGTGATTTAACTGGTTCCCGACTACGCTGGTCTGAAGTCCAACTCATGCCCGGACATTGTGATGTCGAAGCAACGTTTGTGGACTTGGTACCTGAAAGTGGAGCAGTGCAACACATATGCCAGGCGACACGTATGAAGCAATCGTCTTGCCTCGACTTGATTTCAACAAACTGTGAACAGCATATGTATGAGGTTCAGATCAGATCCTAACAGCAAGTGATCACTCAGTGCACATAGCCAGCCGTATTCCCGTCCGCTGACGTCAGCTTACAACTATTGGAAAACTGATTTCGACGATCTAAAGCGAGTCAGGTGGAATGATCTCTACCGCAAGCTGCATCCGTGGAAGACTGGTTTACTGTTATAAAAGGAGTGAGATTACTGTATTCTCTGTTTGTACCACTGATGTGTCGGGAAGTTTAGCAATGCCTATAGTGAAGTGGCTCGGCAGCGGCGCAGGTTTCTTCTCTGCTCTCCGAATGACTACGAGACGTATAAGAGAGCAAAATATTTGCAAAATTGCCAAAACGAAAAAGTGCAAACGAGCTGGCAAACGCCGTCCCGAAAATAATCTTCGCTTACATGAAGAGACGCTTGAAACCGACAGGTGATATACCATTGCTGGAGAGCTCGGACGGAAAGCACATAACCTCCATCATTGAGCGTGTGTTCGTGCTGTTGGCCCACTTCGCCTCCTGGTTTGCAAATGAACGTGTGTCTATATCGAATTCGACGTGCGCCGCTCTTACCGAACTCGGCAGTCTGGTTTACGATGTTGTAGAGGTGCCTGACAGACTCCATCCACTGATTCTCAAATCCCTATCGGCTATCATCTCGTGTGCGGTGACAGACTTGTTCTCAGAAAAGTAAAACAGTGGGTCCCCTTCAGCTATTTCGTTAAGGCAGAGAGAACACAAAGGTTGCGATATGTTAACATTTCGATTGCTCTCTTCAGTCGCAAACACAATACGATCAGAAACATACAAGGGATTATATACATGGGGAAAAAAAACACCAATCAAAATGTCACAGTCAAGACCATGGCAACCGAATTGATTGCCTCAAGCGTTTCTGTGCACATAGCACAGGTTGATAAGCCTTAATTAACAATGCCCCACTAATTGATAGTATTATCGGGTTTTTGTTACGTAATAACACTTTTAACGCTGTCTCGGGGTTCACGTGATGACGGGTTGTCATGAGGTGCTTGGTGGTAGACGATGCCGGGTTCCGATTGATTCTCAGATTCGTCCCATTTTTGTGGCGTAATCACTTGTCCCAACCACTTTGTCAAATGTTCAGCTACCTTCTGAGCTAACTGACGGTTTGTTCTGCCTATGTAAATGTCACCGCAACCACAGGTGAACTGATAAACAACGTGAGAAGCCGAACTAACCGACGAGATGCTCTGACGGTTATGAAGAACAAGTGCTCGCGTGGTATGCCTGAGTCGCAACTGGGCTGTCGTGTAGGTTCGCGTTAAGGCGGACCAGAGCTTGCGTCCGATGTCATTTGCCACATGGTCCCCTTTGAACGGCAAGAACAAATAAACATTCTTCTTCTCAGCCGTCAACACCGGTGTTTTCACGCTGGGAGGTCTGCTGTGTACCTGAATAAACTTCTCAGGATATCCATTAGAAGTTAAGGTCTTGCGTAGCAATTCTTCTTCGGCTTGTAACGTTTCGGGGCCGCAAATACGTCTAGCCCGGTGGAAGAGAGTTCTCACTAACCCGCGTTTGTATGCGATCGGGGCGAAGCTTTTTGTCCCATGTATATAATCCCTTGTATGTTTCTGATCGTATTGTGTTTGCGACTGAAGAGAGCAACCGAAATGTTAACATATCGCAACCTTTGTCTTCTCTCTGCCTTAACGAAAAAGACTTCTTCAACAGGTCACTGTCCGAAGGTTCCTTGTCGAGCGACTGGAAATGCTCAGCGGTAAGGCCGTTCCCAAAGACGGTGACCCCAGCAGTTGGACAACAATGAGCTAATTTGTCTGAACTTATTTTGGCCGTAGCCTAGAGGTAAAGAGCTTGTCTCGTATTCTGCAGCGCGGGTTTGAATCCACGATGGGTTGGGCATCTTCGCGGTATACTCAGCCCGCGTGCGACTGGTGGTGATGGCATGGCAACGAAGCGCCGTTACGGCGTGCAGCTGACACATTATTATTTAGGCCAAGGTTGCTGATAAGATCGGGAAGTAAGGTCTACTACAGCTACTCCAATCAAAAGGTGAACAGATGCCCACACAGCACGGTTTTAAGCTGTGCGTTAGACAAGCTAAGTCCGCGCTGTTGTTGGATTACTGCACCAGTGCATCCAGCACTTTCTTGTTGGGCGAAAGTGGAGGGTACAGCTCGATGGCCATCAAACTGACTGGTATCCCTTTACTAGTGGAGTAACAACACACGACAGCGGGGCCTACTCTTCCTACTCCACATCAACAATCTGCCTCAGCTTCTTCGGTCACCGTGTGCCCTGTTTGCGTGAGTGATTAGCACCCGAGACCACTGCGAGACCTCAACAACCTCTTCATATGGTCCACTTCCCAAGCAATGAAATGTGAAGCAGTGAAATGTGATGACGGCCGAATTTATACCATTGATAGCCAACTGCTACATACCACCCCTTCGATGAAGGACCTAGGTGTACTTTGGCGCTGCGGCTTAGTCCGTGGATAACATAAACAGGCTATATCGTAACAGACTGCGCATGCTTTTGGCGATCAAACACAGTTTCTGTACTTGGTCTGAGGATGTCGCCACTCGCATTCCCTCTTCCACCATAAGACCAATACCAGTGTGGCTCGTCTGCCTACTGTCCAATCATCCGAAGCGAAGCACAGATGAGCGAACGGGTCTAACACGTCACCACCATGCTCATTTCTGTTTACGAGGATTACCGTACGAAACCCGTTGCGATAAGCTAGGACTCTACACCTTATCCTATCGTCGCAGCGAGTCGATCTCATCGTGACTTACCGCATATTACATCTCGATGACTTCCCCATGTTGAGGTCACTGTTTAATCACACGCGGACATCGGTAAACAAACTGGTGCCGGATATAAAGCGAGTCTCTCACCTGTGCATCTAACGGAGAGTGGTAAATGCTTGGAACAGTTTGTCAGATAAAGTCGTGGAGGGAAATTCTGTTGTTGGATTTACATCCCGCCGCCATCCGATTTAGACCTTTGTGAGCCCAATGATACTGCAATTCAGATATTTCAAATGCTACATAAGAAATTGAAGAACGCTTAGTGTGTCAACAGATGATCAATACATTTTATGGTATTTTTGTTTATATTCATATGGAGTTTCACAGATTTAACTACCTTATAACCTTTTAACTACCTTATATTATCGAATATAAGTCCGTCCATAGATAAGCCGACTGTATGATTTTGTAACATCGAACTTGTCCAAATTCGTAAGCCAACACCTAAACAATCAGCAAAAGTGAAACGAAACTGTTTCTCCACCATTTCGACGTCATCACTCCTTGCTCTCACTTGAGTGAGTTCAAGTGAAACTTGCTCTACTATTGGTCGGTTGTGGTGACCGTAATGTGTTATAATCGCGGTTAATGGGGTGTAGGGCCGTTAGAACAGACTTACACCGCACCGGATAATGTATTGACCAGACGTCGATTCACATGGTAAGGTGAGAGGGTGTCAGACAGGCCGCTTCGCATTGTCGGGGGCCTCTTGCATATGAACCACAGTAGAGCAGTGGGTGAAAGCAAAGTTCACGTTAAGTTGTGTGGGAAGACGTTGTACTTTTAAGGCATCGGATCGCTTGGCATAACACAATGTCTAATGTCGTCGCAAACGCCATATGTGAAATACACCGATAATGTTCGACACAATAGTATCGTGTCCAGTTATAGGCACTTAAAATACCTGTCTGGAATACCGTCCGTCACTACCCGGTGGTGCTAATGGGAGATAAAAGCAGAGGTATGCAGTGAAATCTTTGGTGGATTTTGCATATGACTTTTTTAAACCACGGATGACCCTTGTATAAGCCGATACCCCCTCTACAGAACAAAAAGTTGTCCAAAACTCTTCGGTAACATACGGTATTTACTTGCTCACACAATACACTAATCAGTATTCGTGAACGCACTGATTTATGGCTATCATTTCGGTGACGAAGCGGGTTTCCTTGCTCTTTTCTTCCATTCAGGCTACTCACCCAGTCTCGTCAGCGGACGATTTGGCTTCCTTCCTGCGCCAACTGGATCCGATGTGTGTAAACGTGGTTGACGACGATCTGCTCAAGTGATTTCTCACTCCAAAGCGCTTTACTATTCATTTTCATTACTCTGATTGTCCTTTTTGATATATTTTTAACGGCAGCTCCTTCATAGCGTTTTCTTTGTTTCCACCAGGAGTATGGGTTAGTCGGTTATTAAGTGTGAAGCAATCCAACAATCGAGTTTGAATTTGAGCCTAGCAAGTGGTTTCCCAAACAATAGCGCAGCAGACCAAAAGACTTGCAAAGAAATCGGATTTAATTGCTCTAACTGCGCTTGTGGCCACTTTAGGAATAACGCTTATTCGATCGGGTCATCAAGATTTTTACTATAGTTCTAGTCTTTAATCAATACTCCGATCACCTTCGATTGTCATGAAAAATAAAATGTACATTTTCATACAATAAAATAGTATAATATAAATACAGAACACCAGGTGATGAAAAGTGGCGCGTTGAAGAGCATGTCTGATGGCGTGATCAAGGTGTTGAAATATGGGTAAGCAAACGAGGCGGACTGGAGACGTGTGAAGTGATAGCGTCGATTCGGAGCTTGTTTCGCACAAAGAGTAGCAAGAATGAAAGCATGCGACATCGGTGGGAACCCCGGAGTACTCTTCGCTCCAATGGGGTAGGGAAGGACGGGTATCATTGCAAGAGTAACCTGGCACAGAAATAGAAGAAAATCAACCGAGTAGACTAAGTGGCAGTGTTATGACTAAAAAGCTAATGACCAGGTTTAGGTAAATACACTGCTCGATTGCGATGATCAAGTAGATGCCAAAGAAACAGACACAGGAAGCAAATGAGAAAAGATCGGCGTAAAACATTAAAATCAACTAATCGGGAGGAGACAGGCAGAGTCGAGTGCAGCAGTGCGTCTGACTAAGCCGTGTCCTGAATGGTATTCAACGCCGCGTTATGCGTCAAACAGTTAGATTCTATCTGCTACCTCATCCGAGAATAAGACGTCGTGGCTTACAATTGCAAGTGACAAACTGTAGCAAATTGACCGTTTTACTTATTCGGTGAGTTTACAATTGATTGCGGTGTCAAAATGAAGTCTGATGACGAGAAGCTACCACCCAACCTGCTTCTATTAACCTGAAGTATCCGTGGTTTAGTCAAGATTTCAGTTTCAATCTCAATCCCAATGCTTCAGTCCGTGTGATCCTGTTGTGCGAACACGGTCAGGAGATTGAAGCATTGCCAGCTTGTGGCAATCTCTACCTGCGAACCATTGCGTGTGATAACAACATTATATATGCAATGCGGAAGCTAGGAGCCGAATATTCGTAGAGCAGTCCCTGCCTCCCGAGCATTATTATCCAGCGCCGTTTGCACTGACTCGGTCGCGTATTGGACACACGAGCCCATCGCCTTCCTCACTTCCGCTTTCTGGATGCGAATGAAAGAACTGTCCCGGCGAACAACCGATGAAACTGAAAAGAACCTGAACATGTGACTGCACACGTTTACCATTAGCTGGATCTGTCCGTCTGGGGACTCTGGTGGGTTTCAGATATTTGCCTGAACAAAAGTTAATGTCGCTAATGCAGTTTTATGGTCTCTTTTCTATCTAACGTCGAATGTTAAACAAAAAATCAAATAACTCAACCGCCTGCGTAACACTACTTGTTTCACTTCACTGTACTCAGAGAGGTCCGTTAAGCGGCTGGATCCGAACCGCGCGAGTCCGCAAGCAGTGTAGTACGCACAATTCCCTGTAGTCTCATAGACGGTCCGCTGGTTTGAAATCAAAAGATTTTCCCTTGAAAAGTTGATCAGAGGACAGCTTTGAATGGGTAAAATACCTGGGGCTTGACAAGTCCTGTAGGATGGCCCGTATGAAATACACTAGTTCATAAAGAATACTGACAACAAAGTGAATTGCGCATTTGTGGACTCCGTTACACACATGTAGACGCCTACCCCGATTTCGTGAGGGTTAGCGAGCTCAATGGTTACGTCATGTCACGTGATGCAGGTGGTGTAATGCGTCCTCGAGTCGTTTTCTAAAAAATGTGTAAAGTGGGCTCGGTAATGACGTCATCGCTACCAGAAAACGTAGAGGGGAAACACATTAACCGGCAACTAGAGACCGATTTGCTCATTTTTGATCTCCACAACGGTTTCCCAACTTCGTGCAATAACAGTTCGGTAGCGGAGATGCCGGGTTCTTGTGTAATTCTCATCCTCTTTAAATGCTAGTGTGAAAATAACCTTTTTCTCGGCGGTATCTGTCAGCCATTTCTCACTGCTTTTTCTGTCCGTGTATCGTGCCGTGAATCGGTGTACTTTTTAACGCATTGATGACACGTGCTTTAGCTTACTGTCAATCACATCTTCGGAGCACTAGATATTTGAATCTAAATAATTGTGAACGCCAAGCTTCCACTAATTTCGGTTTCGCGCCATAACTTGAATCGTTTTGAACCATCGGCAGAGGTGTAAACGCAATAATAATATGTATATTATTCCTGATCCGAGAATTGTGCCTGTAGTGGTCCACATCAATTTGTACAAAAGCAACCAATTTTTTGCATGGGCGATATGCATAGGTGGAATATAAGGACTTGCGTTTCGGTATATGGTTGAGGCGAAAGCAAAGGTTTAGATGTTATTAGAACCCTCTTACGAGGGAGTTTAACCATGTGAATATAGTCATTATAGTATTTAGATCAAGGTAACTGCAGAGATTTCTTCTAAATGTTGCCAAATCGTCACATGACGTAAGTGTGATTGGGTTTATTCCACTGATACCTTATCAGACTAGGAAGAGATCGGAGCGCATGCTTGTTCTAGCCTTTGGTATATTCGGCGTGTAATCTTTGTTGCGAAGCTCTCAAGTTGCGCTATGTTGTAGTTCGAGTGTAAGCAGATCGGAATAATTTTTCTCTTGTAACAGGTTGAAAAGTAGCGGGATGTTATGATACAGTCGTGCATCCAAAGATATTCAAGTTGAAGCTCCTTACAACGCTTTTGATAATTCCTCGCAGTGCATTTACTAGTAAACGACTTCTGTAAATGTTCTACAACAATTCTGTTGCTCATTTTATCACCGTATGTTCTGCTGCAATACTCGAGCATAGGGCGGTTGAGTAGCTCAACAGCATGGGTTGTGTGGATACAGATGGTCTGGCACGTGCTGCTTGGTATTGGGTCTGTACGGAGAAATTGTACATACCTAAGTACCTAATTCCGAGATCACGCCCGGACAGCTGTATAGGGACGTGTTTATTGTTTAGTGCAATAGATCCTTCGGGGATGGAATAGCCGTAAGACACGGTGCTTTATTCCTTTGCCGACAGGTTTATCATCCACGTGTGGTACCATTACTCATGACAGGTCAGACAAACTCAGTCTCCTGGTCCTGCACATTGAGGGTTTGAAATGGTATGGCGTCCATTTCTGAAAAACTAAATCATTGCCACCTCCCCGCTGCCTTGCGGACAGGCTTTTGAGCCAAAGGCTTTGGATGAGGACCCTGATCGTCCTCTTGTCTAGGTCTGGACGCATTGGCCGTGTCGAAACTCACATACAACCATGACTATTTCTTCAAATGTAAATTTCACTCAGCATCGGCCGTCGCGCAGATTATCAAGGGTCGCCTTATTTGCTGCATACGGCAGGGCGGATAAGTGAAAACATGCTACTGCTGGTGCCTCCTTCTTTCTTTCCACCTGTTTCTCTTACTCCTATTACTAACCTTCCTTCTATACTTCTCAGCTTAATTGACAGCAACCGAAGTGCCACTGGAGTAGAACCATCTGCAGCCACTTTCCCACAACACCCTTCGGACGGCTATCGGCAACAGCCTCTTATAAGGTCACGCTGTCCCGTTTACATGGCGGTATTCAACAATCGCACTCTAAGACAAATAGGTCAACAGGCTGCACTCGCACGCATCGTGGACACACTGGGTGTTGATTTGTGTTGGGTGTCCGAAACTAGGATCAAGGACCTTGTTTATCCTCTCGTTATTGGTTGCACGCATCCGGAGACGCCGATGCAGCACTCACGGGTCAAGCTGGTGTGGGTATCATTCTAAGCTCCGAGACTGAGCCATCGTTGGTTGATTGGATTCCGGTGAACAGCCGTTTATGTGTAGCCCGTTTGATGACATCAGCTAAGGTTTACTCACGAAGTAATATAAAACGCTGTTTGTCAGACTGGAATAACTGCATCGACTCTGATCATGTCTTGGTACGCTGTCGTTTTTCCATCAACTTTACCGGGAGCCGCGCCAAGCGTCTCTTTCAATTGGCAATTGAGAAATTGTCTCAGCCCTCGACCAGGCAAGTCTATCAAGACGCACTGCGTACCGAACTTTCGCTGTCTTGTCCTAATGACACTGAGCTTTAGTAGGATAAGATCTCGGCTGCCATGCACGACGCAGGAGCATCTGCTTGTAGCAGTATCCATCGTCACCGCACCAGTCAAGGTATATCCGAGAGGTCGGTGAACCTGTTGGAATCTCGAAGAAACCTTCCGACTGGCTCTGAGCACATTGTGACCAGGCGGGTATTAGGCGCGAACTAAAGCGGTGCCTATGTGCTGACGAGGAAGCCTGGTGGACCATTAGAGCTGAAGCAATAGAGGAGGCAGAAGTAAATACCGCAAGCTCTTCCAACTGATCCGCATTACTGGTCCCAGGAAACCAGGCGTCAGTGAGACAATCAGCGCGGGTGCACTGATGCGTTATAAAGAGCGCCGTATGGCCCGTTGGGCCTAACACTTTCAGAATTAGTTGAACTGGCCCCCTGCTCCCGGACCTCTTCCTACTCAGGTGATGCAGGACGTGCCATGGACGGTTAGTTTAGAGCCAAATGCAGAACTAATGCTGACGATACTCACATTAGACGTATTCAGTGGGTTGTAGATACAGGCGAGCATTATGTCAAAGGCAACTGAGGCAAACAGATTCAGAGACATTTTCCAGTTGACTGGTCTATACGTTCAGCTGTAGATGTTTTGTGTGCGCATATGACACACTCTTCATTATTTCTGATGAAGCGATCTATTCGAAACAGGTGGTAACTTGGAGTCATCAGAGTAAAGAATATCAGTGATGATGATCGCTTGTGGACTTTGAACTGTGCAAGTGTTTAGAAGTTTGTTGAGCATAGATCTACTATTGGGCAATTGCCACTGTTCGGTGTTTGGTTTCGATCATGGTACACAATGATAGGTAAGTGCGGGGAGTGGTGCGCCTGAGTTTGGGGCTAGCCTCTGCATTAGATCGAAAATGTAAAATCGTATGGCTTCTTATCCTTGATTATTCGAATGCCTTTGGAAGCCCGAGCAAGTCAATGTTGCTAAACCTGCTATCCGGAAAGGGAGTTCACCCGGGTGTGTGTCATCTGTTACGTGACTATTTTGCGGATCGTACTCACTTCACCAAGTTTAACGGTAAGAAATCTCTGTCGTCCGCACCGACTGTGATGTTCTACAGGGAGCAATCCTAACACATTTTCAATTTTTCTTGAATGTTAAACATCTCCCTACAAAATCCACGTTTATAGGGTGTAAATATGCTAGGGTGTATGGCCCCCACTAATCAAGATTCCTCATAACTTCAACGTGGGTTGAGATTTGGTGGAATGGTCTTCATCCAGACCTCTTACGCTTAATGCTTCGAAATGCAGTGATGTAATATTTTCT